GGAATCACAGAATCCTGAGGTGAAAAGGGATGAGAGTCTGCACCAGCTCTGGATCTGTTACCAAATGACCATCTGATAGTCACTTGGAATTGAAGTAGCCAGGAGATGTAAAGGAAAAAAAAATCAATTGCTTTTTTCTATCAGAAATGCTTTCCTGATGACATTACTCAGCCATTCACATAGCACATTAGGATTTGGGTTCAATTTTTGCAGGATTGTGTTTGTTAAATGCACTCTCTCTTCATCCCAGGTACCTAAAAGAGAAGAGCATGATACGCCAGCACCTTCGTAGTCGAACTGTTAGAAAAACAGAGACCACGGTTTGATGTGAACAGCCCACGGCCGATTCCCTGCGCAGCGCCTTTGCCCAAGGCAAGTCTGTGTCTGCCTGAAAGCTCTGTGACTGAAGAGCCCTTAAAGCACAGGGGTGTGCCAGGTGCTGCAGTTCCTCTTGATAATTATGAATTGGGAATTGAACTGGCTCCTCTACAGCTCTGAAACTCAAGCAGGGAACCACCTAAGAAGGTGAACTAGATCCCTCACAAGACGCAGGCTGAACCTGGCTTGAAACTTCAGCTACAGATGAAATCCTATGAAAAGCACAAAGCTTGAAACCCTGCTCATTTAAAAACCATTGCCAAAAGTCTAGCATTTAAGAAACATATCACAATAACCCATGTGCTAACGGTACAGAAAACATGAAAATTGAGTGTACGGTTTGCCTTCTATTAGACAAATGTTGAATTCTAGTACGAAGAAGCTTCTTAGAGTTGAAGTTGCAAAAGGTATTTATGTATTGAAGATTGCAGTTAGGCTGTTCACTTAAATGAAAACAACAAAGAACCTGTGCCAGAGAGACGTGATGTCCCACTGGTTTCAGACTGGGAGAAGCCTAACCAGCTTAAGCTTTGAGCCACAGTTAGAAAAATACCACTGGAAACCTGTCCGCTGGATAGCTGTTCAGCTCTGCAACCTGGGAGGCAATTTACTGCTGAAGTATCTCTTGAGCTGCAGAATAACCACTCTGAGGACTATGACATCTGCGTGATGGGGTCCTGGAAGGCATCTGGGCATGTTTGGTTATTGAAACAAATGGGTTGGTGTTGCTTCCTGTGTTTGGTGCTGGAAAATGGAGATAAGTGTTTGATGTGAGGGGCTGAACATCCCATCTGTGGCAGGGCTGTGCTGGCAGCCTTGGCACTGAATGTCCCATCTGTGGCAGGGCTGGGCTGGCAGCCTTGGCACTGCACATGCCATCCAGGCAGGGTTGCCCTTTTGGCACAGTGTGGCCCTGATGCAGTGTATGGTAGCCAGAGATGAGGTCCTGATGTGTGAGTCGTGCTGCATACCAAAGCTCCATCTGTAGAGATGTAAATAAACTCCAGTTGTGCACAACTAATTGCCTCCTGAATGAGTCTGGTTTTTACAGGTATCTGTGTTTTGCCTCAGCTACTTGGGGCTTATGCGGATAACAAGATGAACACCATGAAAGGGGAGGAATCAACGTGCAGAAAATGTCACTGTGAAATCTATCAAGTATGAAAAACTTCGCCCTGCAGGAGATGATGTCATTGGGATGGTAATTTAAAAGTCAAAAGCCGATGTGGTAATTGAAACTACTGTGATTGGGAGAAGAGGTTTATTTTACTGTAGGGTCTATTATCATCCTGCCCAGGAAAATAATTACGGGCAAGGGAGCACAGAGGGGAGACATGAAGCTAACTCAGCAATTCAGATGCATGGTGGGAAATGACAGTTGCCTTGGAGGAGCAAATAGAAGCTCCATGAAGCCGCAGAAGGAGGTGCATGAGGGTCACTGATGTTCCCCAGGGACCTCTTCAAGTGCAAGTTAGCCCAGTCCCTGGAGGTGTGGAACTCACCTGAGAAGGACTGGTTCCACTAGCAAGGGATGCTCAAGTCTCAGGTAGACCATGGCCAAGTTCTTGGCCAAACCTGAGCAGGAGTGGGCAGCTTCAACCACGGCACTGAGGCCAGGTATGTTCCAAGCAGGAGCTGGCTGGATGGAAGCACGATGAAAATAGTGCTGGAGACAGAATAGGAACAGACCTCCCAGACTGGATTTTGGGCTTGCTGCTGATTGAGTTCATCTGAGGAGCAAATCACAACCCTTTTGCAAAGGGATATTTGGGTAGTTCCAGCTCCTGACATGGAACTGAGCTGGTCTGTGGTGGGTGGACAGATAGTGAGTGCTGCAACTGTCTCTGCCTGTGCTGTGGCACTTGTTTCTCTTTGGAACTGGGAAAAAGAACTGCAGTGTTTTTATGCAAACTAGGCTTTTTGTCTTACCTCTTCCATTTCATGAACACTTGAGTAGTTGTAGGAAGGTGCACTAAAAAGATAGTGGAACAAGGAATACTCCGGATTCCTTGGTCTGAGATTAAAAGAGAAATTAATGGACAGACCATGTGGAAAAGAGAAAGTGTTTCCAGGCACATAGTCCAATGCTCTGGATATGTACACAATCCCTAAACCGAGCCCTTTGTGCCACCATCTGATGTTAAATATGTCAATCTGTTTTATTTCACTGGTCCTGCTGAGTTGGGACTGAAAAATGCTGGAAAAAAACTGTGGAGCCTGACACAGATTTGACTAGAGCCCACTGCTTTTTAAGGGCAGGTGAAATCAAGCTGCAGCTTGGCTGTTGTGAGTGGTTCATGGATACTGAGCTGATGGAAATGAATCATTTCAGACACAGGCAGGAACAGGAGAGGAATTTATTTCCAAGGGTTATTGGATATTCAGGATAACACAAGAATGAATCGCATTTCAGGTGACAGAGGAAATGGGAGTGTATGGGGTGGATTCTGATGGGAATCTGTTTAGTCAACCTCTTCAATCTGACTCTGAAACCTTCTCCCTGGAGGTGATGCTTTAAGCTGGGTTTGTGTTTGAATCATTTGTTTGGGCCAAGTTTCTTTGTTACAGGTACTTTAAATGCTCCTGGGATAAGGACTGCTAGGTACGCCCACCCAAAGAGTCTCCTACCTGGGGGTCTCTTCCTTCAAGCCGAAGGTTTCCAGAAAAAATACTTTTCTTTTAGTACTGTTTTTGACATGACTTTCAACATGCCTTCTGATTTGTGTTCATGTAAAAAGAAAAGTGTGAAAGCTGTTTGTGTGTTCAAGCACCTGGACTGTGAATCTGGGAGCCTCCCAGAGCTTTCTGCAGCTGACGGGGTGTTTCTGCAGCCAGTGCTCTCTCCCTCCCATCACATTTTGCTCCAGGATGCCCAGGACAACCTTTTTCTGTTCTTAAAGTCAACTGTACAACTCCCCTGGAGCAGCCCGTATTAGTGAGGGAATGTGTTGTGTTTTGAGGACATACATTAAAAAAAAATGCAAAAAGAATCATTTGGTGATAGAAAAATAATTTAGAAATGGTTACAGGTAGATTTGCTTAATTTGATCTGATTTGTGGTTATGCCTTGTGAGCTTAAGATTTAAAATGCCTTTTTTTGTGTCTGTGACTATTTGGTATAAGGAAAATAACATTCCATAATATAAGATGGTGGCCACATCTAAACTCTGAATTTCCATCCATTTAACTTATTCTTTTGGTGGATTCCTTAAAGATGATGCACATTCTGGACTTAAACAGCTTTTATGTTACTTGTTTTGATATAAATTTTGTATTTCCTTGATCATTTTGAATCAAAGCGATAGGAGCCAGGTAGGGAATGGGCTTACAGGTTTCTCCTGCATCTGAATCGAACGGATACACGTGTTGAGCTTTCAGGGAAGCTGGGCTCGGCCAGCAGCTGAGGTTTACAGTGCCACAGTCAGCACATTCCGTGCAGGAATTGGATGGTTTATTCCCAGGCACCTCTTTTGTTCACAGGGGCAGAGCTGTAGCTGCTGGAAACCGTCATGACCTCAGTAGATGTGTGAGGTCAGAGCCACAACACGGTTTTCTCCGCTGTGACAAATGATCTGTTCCTGGTGGTACTTCATGAATGTTTAGAAAAGATACGCTCACTGTTACGTTCCTGTGACTTCTTGTTGTTCACCAAGTATCTTGCAATATGCTACGCGCTCTCTTTATGCTGACAGCATTTTCTCACTTCTTTTTATAAGTTCTGGACCCTGAAAAAAAGCAAAATATCTATAAGCAATAGAATCAGGAAGATGATGGAGTTGGGAACAAGTTACAGGAGTATGGGGGCAGTAAGGGATGCTGTATAATCTCTAAGTTGTGTACAAACACTGTATGCAGAGCACAGGTACATCTGTCACGTGTAACAGATATTTTGCTTTTTTTGTTCTGCTCAGATGACCTGAGGAGATTGGGTATTTGTCGGAAAAATAACAAAAAATGATTTTATTAGTAAGAGTTAGTAGAATGGCTTTTTGCAGCTGTGCTGTTTGGGTGTACTCAAAGGTGGAAGTTTCTGATTAATAAGAGAGAGTTTTCTGTGATTTATCATTTAAAGCAAAGCAAAGGCTTTAGAAAAGAGAGAGCAAGGCTGAAGGGTGATGGATGGTTTGTGACAGTCCAGTTACGGAATATATCCAAGAGAGGGAGATGAAAAGTGGACAACAGCAGATGTACGGGAGGGTAAAGAGAAGCCAAAGCAGCTCTGCAGTGTGAAGTTTGGTGAGCTGAAGTAATGTGGGAAAGACAGGAGGAAAACAGAGGTAGGGAGAATAAACTGGGAAAATTGGAATGTGTTCTTTCTCCCTCTATCGCAGAGGAACTTTTCAAGAGAAATTCAGGGAAGAACTGTTAGCCAGGGCATCCTTCACCACTGCACGCCCCAGGGGCTCCCCAGAGGCTGAGCTCCGCGTCTCCCAACGGCTGCACGTGGCCACAAGGCTGATGAGGTCAGTTCTCCAGTGATCATTCCCCTGGAACACATCTGCCTGTGGGAATTCCGGCCCGCCAGGCTGCGGCTGTGCTGCTTGGGAGAAATCCGTGCCCCTGTGCCCACTCGGTGTTCCCATTGGGATTGGGACGGCGCGGCGGCCAGGGAAGGGGGGTACCTCTGTGGCGAAGCAGGCGTCGCGGCGGGCTGCGCGGCAGCACCGCTCCCTCATGGCGGCGAAGGCGGCGGTGACGGCGCTCAGCTGGCCCTGGGTGATGCGGGGCCGGTGTTTGATGAGGGTGATGAGCATCCTGCAAGGAGAGCCAGGCAAGCTCCATGAGGCCGGAGGTGAGCTCCAACACCCCTCCTCCCAAGTCCCTCTGTTCCTACTGCCCACGTCCTTGCTACACCTTTCTTGTTTTTGTTCACTGCCCAGATGGGTTTTTGCAGCAGGGGGCAAAGATGCGCCCCGCTGACCTGCGAAATGAAACATGGCTGCTGGTTTGGGGAGTTGCTCCACCGTAAATATCCGTAAATTAAACAGTGCAGGTGGATTCTGTGTTGTGCACTGCTCCAGAGGGTCCGGGACAGTCTGGGTCTGCCACAGCACAAGTCCATGGCCACAGAGGGGTCAGTGGAGCGGGGGGCCAGCATGCCAGTTTTGTCTGACCAAGGAAACCAAACCCCAGAAGGAGCGCATGGGATGAGGAACCAAGTGTGGGCTTTGCTGTTCGGAGAGGGGAGCCCTAACTATGCCAGAAAGGTCACGCCATGTTCTTCTGGCACCTTTTTTCAGTGCCCTGTGCAGCTCCCAGGAGGGACGGTGGGAGAAGGTGTTTATCAGACCCAACTTTGGACACCTGTTACTTCCACACTGGTGGTGTGTACACCAGTGCAGGTTCCCACCTCTGGAAATGAGTCTGTGCTCATCTAAGGCACGTAATTACAGGTTGAACCAGACTGCAGAAGGATCTGGGACTGGTGTGAGAAGGAAGGAAAGGAGCTTGGAAGAGGGGTTGAGGAGTGTTGGGCTCTTCTCCCATGGCGTATTGCAGACCCAGGACGCCAGAGAGAGCGGACAAGGGGAAGGTGAGGGCTGCCAGGATCAGAATAAGAAACTCAGGGGTAACAGAGTGGCACAGGCCTGTCTTACTCCTGCTTCCTGTGCTGTAACTTCTCCTCCTCAGTCGTACACAAGTCTTCACGGAAGGTGAACAGACCGGGGGTCAGTGGTAAGGGCACGTAGTTCTCGTCGAGTTCCAGTTTGCCCATGCACGGCCTCCTGAAAGCGTAGGAGCTGCTACAGCAGTGGCAAACTCCGGCGTTGATGGGATCCGTCAGGTGTCTTCTGCATATTTCTCCAAGCACGAGATCCAGCTTTACCAAAAGAGGTGAAAACCACCAATTTTAGGTTACTGTTTCATTTTGAAAAATCCCTGAAGCATGTGCTGCTCTTAGTAAAGTTAAAAAAAAATCACTGAGAATATAAATTAAACCTGGCTTGTCAGATAAATAGCCCTTTTTTTCTACTGAACACTGACTTTGGTGCAAAAACAGCTTGGATTTTTCAGAATAGACATGGACATGCAGTTCTAGGGACTGTCCTTTGTGCATGGACAGGATGTGATTTCTTCCTAAGAGCAAGTTGGCTTTTCGTTTGTTTCCCTCAGCAGAGATTCTGTTGGACCGTTCCTGTAACGGCCGCGTTGTACCAACGGGTGGCTGGGGGAGAGGCTGAAGTTTTCCAGGTACTTTGGCCTGGAGAATTCTTAGGGAAGGGCTTTGTGAAATTGAGCTTTCCAAAACTGATCCTTTTCAGAGAGCCCTACAGCTTCAGCCTTCCAGCAAGGATGAACTCAGAGTAGACACCATTAGCTGCCGCGGGAATGGGGCCGGATCACCTGTGCTGCGTGACTGTTAACTGGCAGTAGCCTGACAGTCTCCCCATCCTCTAGTTCTATTCCAGCATAAACTTCAGAGAAGAATTTTTCTTATATCTAATCTAAATCTACCCGCTTTAAACTGGAAGAGAGCAGATTTAGACTGCATATAAGGAAGAAGTTTTTCACTCAAAGGGTGCTGAGGCACTGGCACAGGTTGCCCAGAGAAGCTGTGGGTGTCCCATCCCTGGAAGTGTTCAAGGCCAGGTTGGATGAGGCTTTGGGCAACCTGGTGTAGTGGAGGGTGTCCCTGCCCATGGCAGGGGGGTTGGAACTGGATGGTCTTTGAGGTCCCTCCCAATCCAAACCATTCTATGATGCTGAGTTCCGCTTCCTTCAGGTGTGTATCTGGAAGTACAGCTAGAGCCCAGCTCAGTCAATGCTTTTCTACTTCACCTGTCCTCAAGCTCTTGGACCCCGCTGGCAGCAGAATTTGTGGCAGAGTTCCACGAAAAGCTAGGACCGAGACAAGGAGGGAAAACACTCACGTTTTCCTCGGCGCAAGGCAGGAGCTTGTCCTGGCTCAACTGGCAGCACTTGGCGCCGACGGCCGTCATTTGCTTGGTGAATTTGATCAGGTCTGCAGATGTCAGCTGGGGCATCTTCTTGGTGAAGCTCATGAGAAGCCTGAAATAATAATTTCGTTGATATTGGTGTTTCTCTTCCACCAGGCAGCAGCAGGCAAGTCAGTGCCTCCGCACGCGTGCAGCTCCAGCCAAACCCCACAGAACACTCGGCAGGGCAAGGGCAGGACTAGGGCTGGTGTTGGTAACAGGCAGGTGGAAACCTGCTCTGTTTGAGCTTTCTCCTTCCTCTGACTAGTCTCTTACCAGGAGAAACAAAGGAAATGAAGGATAACATTGCCAGTTACATGTTGGTGGGCCAAAATATTGGTTGTCTTTCCCCTGTTATTCATTTCCCTGGGAGTGTGGGGAGCTGGTCTGAGAGCAAAACTGAACTCCAGTAACTTCTTGGGAGGCTAGATCAGGGCAGAAGATAACCTCAAAAAAGTTTTTTTCTTTTTAAAAAAATCGTGCTTGTTAATCATCATGGCCAAGACAACCTTAACAACCTATACAAGAGGGAGAAGCAGCCCACCAGGTTGGTTGGAAAACTCGAGTTCCAAAGGTCTTGTAAAGATGAGACGTGCTCAGGAGTGCAAAAAGCCAACGTGCCTCCCCAGAGAAGGCTGGCTGAGGCCTCGCATGAAGCACACAAGCAGTTTGGAGATGTCACTAAAGTTGCTCACGTACTTGGAGTTAAACATGTGCTCTTCAAGGATGCAAATCAGGGCCAGAGTCCCTCCAGGAGGCTTGTGCCTGCTGGCTGCGTTTGAGCATTGGCATGTGGTGGGGCAGGTCGGCTTTTCCTCTGTCTGCTGTCCTTACGTTTTTGTTACTGGTGTTTATGTTTACATCTGCTGCAGGATCTGGATAGAGCCAAGTCTTTAGCAGAAGACACAGCAGCTGTCTTTTGGCCACATATATCACTACTAAGCTACAGCTCAAAACGTGTCTACAAAGCAAGGACATCATCAGAAACACGGACGAGAGATTGATGAAGTTGTCACTTGACTGCTTCGTGAGTTGGGTTAAGGAGAGGACTGTGACAGGCCAGAACATGGTCTTGGAAAAGATAAAAAAATTTCCTAGAAGGCATTAATATATTGGTCCAAACACTCAAGTGGTGTCTTTTGGCCCAGCTGTTTTGACATGAGTGGCTTTACTGCAGCCTGAGTTGTGCCCAGCTGTACAGGAGGAACGTAAGCATATGAAAAAGCATTACTCGTTTTGGAAATAGTAATCTCCTTTCTCCTTGTAGATGTCACAGCTTGTCTTCATGACACTTTGAGTTTCATAAATATGCTTCTTCAGTTCTTCCTCCTGAAAAATAACAAACTCATTTGAGGAGGGAATGCAGAATGCCCTATTGCCTCAAGATAAGGCCCAGATATCGACAGCTGCCTCTCACCTGACGGGTACCACCCATCTTTAATGCCATTAGAAAGTCCTCATTTGCCAAAAAGGGTGGGAAATGTCCCCCTTTGATCAGGGGGACATAGTTAACTCGTTATCAGTGATGGATGGCTCAGAGACATGCATAAAAGCAAGGTCTCTGTCTGAGGCAATAACCACAAGTGCCTTTTCTGTTTGCAAGAGGGTGACTGGCACTGCCAGGGAGCCCAAAATAGAGCAGGGCTCTCAGAAATGTTATCTCCATCCCTCCCCCCGGCATCTCTGACTATCCAGGTTAGCTCGCTTGGCGACCGAAGATTACGAAAGCTCTGTTGATGCTTTTTCCATACGGGAACCAGTTCGGCCTTGTAAGAGTTGGTGTGTGTGTTGGAGGAGCTGTGGGTACTCGCTCCAGGCCTGGAGCAGGGATAGTGGCTCTTTGGCCAGACCCAGTCACGTGCTTGAATCCATGGGTAGGGCGTGTGACGCCCGACAGCACCCACCCCTCTGCTGCAGCAGCTGTCTGGAGCACCCGTCTGGCAGCACTCTTCCAGCAGGTCCTCGTAGCCTTTACCAATTCTTAGAAGCATTTGAGCAGAAAATTCAGGGTGTCTCCTGGAATATTCATACAGAAACCTGCAACGTGTGGAGCAGCAGCAATTAGAGGTCAGCCTTGGGCGGGGAGTTTGGCTCTTTTTTCCATCCTGTCTAACTGATAATGAGATTATTTCCAGTAACAGCCCCATTTCCCAGGAAACGCTGACAAACTCAGCGGTGCCCAAGCAGCCCCCTTGCACCAGTCGTGCCCAAGCCATGAGCTGCACTTGGCATAAATGGAAGAGACATAAGTGAAGGGAATTCTCTGTCTTTGGGACTCAGTGCTGTTGCAGCCTGTGGCATTCTTGGCCAAGTTTCCCACAGGTAGGATCAGGGCTTCATTGCACCAAGGAACATGGCTAGAACAGCAATGAGCCGATCCTGTTGGAATCAAAACATAAACCTGACTTAGGTGGTTTTGAATTCCCACCTAAGAGTGGATCCAAGGTATGTTTTGGGCCTGGGATCAAAACTGATAGTACCTAAATTTGACACGTTTCTTCAGTTTTGTCTCTGGCTTAACAATCGTGCCCTGTTCTCGGTGTGTTCCCATTCCATGAGTGGGGTTTTCCTAACATCAGTTTGCACAGCATCCCATGCCTGTCAGCTCATGGAGCAGAAAAATCTGAGGCTGATGAGATCTTTCCACCCAAGGATTGAAACCACAAAACTGAAGAGCAGAGCAAGACCCACGTTACCTGGCGAGGTGCATATCTTTTTCCTGGGCAAAACGTTCACATATTCCTTGGTCTTCTATAAACTCCCTGACGTGGGGGGACAGGCCTGCAGGTTTGTCGTCATGTTCTGCGTTAATGATGCATTCACTTCTTTGCAACAGAGGCTTTTCACAGCATTTCTTAATTTTACTTGATAGGATGTCTTGGTGGGTGCAGACGTAGTGTAGAAGGTCTTCCTGGAAAGCAAAAAAGGGAAGGAAGCAAATTTGACCAGATATTTTTTTGGGCATCAGTGTTTTCATCTCCATTTTACAGACACAGGAGGTGATTCCCAAAGAGAAGAGTGGCCAAAGCTGTGCCATGGACGTTGGGCAGAATGAGGAAGATGACGGAAGTCCCGTTGATGTATTTGCAGCAGTCCCTTTCTTGTTGATTGATTGCTGCTACGGGGTGACCACTGGCATGGGGAAGTTGGCTGTCTCACTGGGTGCCATGGGCAAGCAGTGAGATACATGCATTTGGCATGGTAGAAGAAAGTAAAGAATGGGGAAGTTGGCTGTCTCACTGGGTGCCATTTGGCATGTTAGAAAAAGGTAGAGGATGGAGGATGGGCAGATACTGTTCTGCTGCACAGAAAATAAATAGCACAGCGACTGCAACCAAATCTGCTGCAGAGCTGTTAGGTCACTTTAGGCAGAAAATGCTCTTTCTGCCCTTGTTGATGACGTCACACCAGGAAAAAATCAAATAGGAAAAAAATCAACCAGGTTTTTAAACTGAAGAGTTGAACTTAAGTTTTGGAGAGCAATCAGTACAGCACAGGAGGAAAAAAAAAACCCAAATCTGAAACCAGCAAAACCACCACGCATTCAATTTGTGCAAACACATAAATATGAAATGACTTGTACCCTGTGGCGCATGCAGTCCAGCATGTCTCCACGACAGCAGTCCTTGTGCATCTCAGCAACATCCAGCACCAGTTTGTGAACAGTAACAAAATCAGCTTTAGGGAATCTTTGGCTGATCTGAACAAGTTTCCTACAATGAAGAAAAAGGGTTATTGTTTCTGTTCACAGGGTCAGACTGTGAGAGCTGGCATGGTTTCTCTCTGGAGGGGGTATCCAAAGTGCTCAGGAGTGGGGTCTCCCTGCTCCCTCTCGAGTTAACAAACAATAGCTGAGATTTTTCAGAGTTATATAAGGATCCCAGGGGGATTCCGGTGTGAGATGGTGGAAGGAAAAGTGGTCGGTGAGCACGAAATGACAGGAGCAACCTTCTGTCAAAAACGATTTAGGGAGATAAGTTGTGTTTTGCTCACAATCACTCTAACTTTCATCACAGATTTGTTTCTTTGAAACTTTTTGGGTTTAGAATTTGAAAACTAATGGCAGCTTGCGAGGAGACAGTGACAGCTGCCTTGCATGAATTTATAATCCCAATCTGTGGATTTGTCAGATGCTACTCGTGACCTGCACACCACAAGGACGTGGCTGGTGCTTGGGGTCACCGTACTGGGTGACACCACAGCTGCTGTGCCACATCCCCGCTTCATTTCAGAATTATGACCAACATGGGGAAGACTCACAGAGCCTTTAGGGTCCTTTCTCCAAACTTTTTCAAGATTCCGCATGTGTGCTCCTGCCTCAGGCCATCTTCTTTAATTGGCTTCACCACCTTTGGTGCCTGGGAGAAAGAAGATGAAGACAAAGCAGAAGAAAAGAAAATGCTTTATAGTAAAACTACTGTTGCAATGTGTTTTTAAAAATATTTTTTTTTAATAGAGGGAGAAAATTGCTGTCCAAGCTGTAACATGAACTAACTGTTGCGCTTGCTATTTTATCACCAGCATTTATGAAGTGTTGGGTGAAAAGAAATGGGAATTGTTTTGGACAACAGCTCAGTGTTTTTAGCACAGGGGGAGAAAGGGTTGTCTAGGAGCTCACGACTGCCCTGGCACTGCTGTGAGCTCATGTCCAACCGTGCCATCGCTGCGGCCCAGCCATGAGGTGCCCGTGGCCGTCCAGCAAGGGCAGGTTGCCCACGCTCATTTCCCCCACTGACAGGAGGTTTGCTCTGAATTTGTGCCCCTGGTTACCTGCGGGGCATGTCTCTGCAGTGCCAACGCTTGGCCAAGAGGGAGGTGTCATGGGGCTATCAACAGGAAAAACATAAATCAGATTTCTGCACCACGCACAGCACCGCGGCAGCCTGACAACAAACCCAGGGGAGGTGGGAGTGTCAGGGTGGGTGAGGATGTGATCCCAGGACGTGGGGACTGCCTCGAGCTCCCTGTGGAGCTACATCTGCCCAAAGTCTGGCATTTTCATGGAGAAGTTCAAACTTCAACTCGAGAGAGTTTAAGTCTGATTTCAGCCTGTCCTTAACACGGTGGATTCCAACATCACGTTCAGACACTGGAAAAGAAACGGCTGATGTGTCTGCTTGGGTATTTGTTTAGCTGTAGCCAAGTCCCTGATTGTGTGTTAAATAATAATAATTATTATTCAATGTTTATTGTTTATAATAATAAGTAATAAAGTAGAACCCTGTGGTGCAATACCTGTCTCCGAAAGCATTCCTCCAGGTCCTGAGCGGGGTCTTCAGCACTTCGGCAGCAGTTCTTGGTCATCTCATCGTACCGCAGAGCGACAGAGAGGATGGTTGGGGCGTAGAGGAAGGGATGCCTTCGGGAAACCTCGTAGATAAAACTAAAACAGGGAGAAATTCCCTCAGTTTCGGAGTCAGCCCTTACACCCAGGGGGCAGCATCTGCTGTGCGTTACAACAAGAGCTCCTGAGAATGACTCTTTTCCTGTTTTAAGAACAAACTATAGGGCAGTGTTTGTCTTGGAAAAATTCTGGTGGGGCTGATGTTTTCCTGGAAATTGAAGTCTAGAATCCTGCCAGTTCTGGCTGAGGGGCAGCAAAACATCTGCTGGGCTTTTAAGGACTACAGGGAGGCACTTGGTTTCAGAGGGGTCTTTTACCCAGACTACAATAAAATAGGCCAAATGTTTGTCATGTGGACCTACATCCCAAGCAGGAGATGGCAGAACAGTGACGGTCATGTCGTGACAGTCAGAAGTAGATGAATTATGCAAATAATTCCCATTAGGAAGAAAAACACGTATGAGATGACAGAGCATGTGAGACTGAACTGGTTGGCTGTCTCTGGGCTCCCAACCCTCACATCCCGGTGACAAACCTACAGCTTCTTTACTTACTGTCCCGTTAGTGAGTGTTGGTGCTGGGAATGATTTTTGCAGGCAGCTTCAGCGTTTGGCCTTTCAAAAGGAGAACCGAACCCTCTCGATGAGTTTTTAAGGGAGAGGAAGCAGTCGTTCCGGTCAGGATCCTTTTTAGCGCAGCAATCAGTAACCCCGGGAAGATTTTCCTCCTGGCATATTTTATCGAGGAAAATCCTGTCCTGTGAAAAATTAGGAAAAAAAAAATCCCACTTTTTTTCGAACACTTGGAATGTACCCCATTATCCAGACCCTTTTTCTCCATAACCATCAAGGTGATGGACTGGTATCCCGCGTTTCGCAGCGCAGCAGGAGCTACATTTTCAGGGTTTGTTTCGGTGGGTCTAATAAATCTGAAATGAGTCATAATGCAGACTCCATCTGCCAGCTCCAAAAGTGGCTTGGAGCAGATACCATCAAAAAAAGAGGAATGTGAGTTAATGGAGTGGAGCAACTGCCTACAAACATTGTATTTGCTAGAAATGTCTAATTTGGCTTTTGCAGTTTGCTACAGCAGCCGTAAAAGCACAACTCTCTGAACATCTTGTAGAAAGACACAGGTCAAGGGTTCCAAAGGTGCTGTGATATCTGGGGTGGGGGAGGAGAGGGGCTTTGCTTTCCTCTCCTTATCCTGAGATGCTTTATAGAGGGCAGCCTGGAGAAGGAGGCACTGAGGCCAAACGTGGGTACACGAGGAGGTCCCATCTCTCAATAATTATTCATGCCCCTTTGGGAAAACACATCCCCAGGCTCTGCAATCACAAGCCACTCCTGAAAATGTTTGCCAGGTTGGCAGCATAAAGGTGCTTACCAAAGGCTTCAGGCAGTCGGGGTTGTCTCTGGCTGCAGCAGCACAGCTTTGGGCGAGGGCTGTGACATCGTCGGCCATCTGCACGGCTCTGCCAAACGTGCCTCCTGGCACGTACTGGGCAAACATGATCACGGCACTCGGGGAGAACACACAGCGTTAAACCCGCTGCCCAAAAACTCATCACGTAACTTCCACACACGAGACACTAAGAGGCTCCGTAGCCCCGGGGGCTGGCACAACGGGTGAGCGTGTGACTCGGGGTACGTGCTCCTTTCCAAACGGCACAACCATGATGCCACAAGTAGCAGCAAATTTGCGAGCAGGCGCTTTACCTGAACGACCGGTGAGCGTGTGACTCGGGGCACGTGCTCCTTTCCAAATGGCACAACCATGATCCCACAAGTAGCAGCAAATTTGCGAGCAGACGCTTTACCTGGACGACTTGGAGAAGAGAAGGCTCTGGAGTGATCTTATAGCAGCCTTCCAGTACCTAAAGGGGCTACAGGAAAGCTGGAGAGGGACTTTTGACCAGGGCATGTAGTGACAGGGCAAGGGGGAATGGCTTTAAAA